CAGCCTTTGTAGCTATGAAATATGTAGAAGCGAAATTTTAAAATGTTCATACTGCTGGAATTTACCCGTGACTACGATTTTGTTAAAGAATTCGGGGCGCCTGCAGATATGTTAAGAAGGGGAGAGATGGTATGCTTTGCAAAAATCCCTTGCGATAAATACAAGTTTTGTCTGGTACATAATTTTAAAAGTCAAAAAGCTTCTCCGCAATCGCTTTTTATGTCGAGTTGTAATCCGAATAGTAGTATGTCGGGTAACTAATCGAATAACCACCGACAAGACTGTGAAAGTTCCCCTTACAAAATTGCCTATAAGCAATTTGATGGCAGGTTTGACACCACCTTGACGTATGCCAGTACCATTTTGCCATCGAAACGAATGGACGAATCATAGAATGACTGATGTCATGAGCAGAGCTAACATTCTCGAAAATTGCTCTGGACCAGCAGGGAAACGAACCACTTCCCTTCACGTCTGGACGCAACACGTTACCATTTCACCACCGGTTCCTACACTTCAGGTTCAGCCTGGCAACACATCTGCTGTGTATCTGCCTTTCAAGACAGGATGCACCATTCTTTTTTTCTTGTGGCGGCTTCTTGGCCAGCTTTTCGCTAGTTTTTCCGCGACAGCTGGTTGTCCCACAAATACAGCAAAACTCTTGATTTAATGCACGACAAGAGTGCTACTTCCCATTGCACCATGCCTGTTAGTACACTGTTCGGGATGTGAATATCTCATAGTCATTGCCTCAAGGGAGAATTAGGGAATTGATATATGTTGCGGGTGTTACAGGATATATTGAAAAATGAAATGGAACAGAGTGGAATCGAGCATAGCAGGATGGGCGGAAGTGAAGCACAACAGCTGCTTTTCCGAACAGAAATAGAAAATTGTTTCTTTTTTTTTTAATTTGGAAGAATACAAAATCAAACAATATTAAGAAATTTTTCGAAAACATGGACGTACCAGTGGCACATATTTGGAAAAATTTCTGTTTAATCGTTCACCAATAGCAGTGGTAGCCCGAAGAGCCAGTGACACTACCATAACGTTTGAATCCTTTTCAATCACCTGAAGCAGCAGTCAGAGTTTGGCTTTGGCAAAAGCTACTCCACAAGCAAAGGACCAGCCTCGCTGGGTAAGCGCTTGTAGAACGATTTCCAGTGTGTTTAAATTTGATTAAACAAGCTATGCTGATTTGCAATTCAAAATGCGCATGAGAGTGTGTTTATCAAATGCAGTACTTCTCTACCACTTAGTAGTGTCTGTGGGCCAATGAGGAAAATGCGTTGAGGAGCGAGCAGTATACTCAGTAAGAGATACAATTTAAGGAAGAAAACTAAACATTTATAAACCAAAAAAATTACAGAAGATTTATTAAGTAGGAAGCACAATATGAGCAAAAATGCTTTTTGCTTCAAATTTTTCCCCTACTTTCATAAAATAAGCAATTCAGAGCAAAAAGGAGAAAAATGGAGCCGTAGAGAAATACTTCGTCCTGTTAAGTCGCGCATGTTCCTTTTCAGTACCACAGCTGAAGCAGTAAAATGAAGAGGAAAAGGGCACAGACCCCTTTCAATGTGCCGAGAAGATCGATGTAGTTTAAGTTCGGATCGAGACGTGAGCGTTTGAGAACTATGTTCACGAG